CTTTCACTCAAACAAATTTAATTCATTTTATTGACATTAGCTCTCCTATTACAGAGAAATATACATACATACACATACAGGTATATTATGACCCACACAAACACGTTTATTATTACCTAAGATCTGTGGTGTTGGTATAACATAGTACATATATATGTATGTGTACATATATAGTTATATGAATAGAACAGGTCAAAATTTAAGTACATTTTCCAAAAAAGTTCTCAAATATTTTCATGTTTATTTACACAAAATGATACAAACAAAAGTTGGTAGCACTAAGTCTCTTTATATAACATATATATATTTTAAATCTTATAACATATGCATGGAATAATAGATTATAATGTGTCTTTAAAACTGTGTGAGAAGTTACACAAAACCAGTCTTGTTATTTTATAGTCATAGAGTGTATAAATATACACATATATTAATCATCATAGCATATGTACCATTTCCAGTTTTCAAAGTGCTTTCACATACTTTATTAGATACTGTCCCTTAAAATCCTGTGAGGTGGATGTTATCATCATTCCCATTTACAGAGGAGAAAACTGAAGATGTAAAGTGGTGGAACTGGGATTCAAATCCATGTCTTTCAGCTCCAAATTCTAGGCTTTGGATTCAGACAGACAGTTCATATCCTAGCTTGCCCACTTAATAGATGTGTAACTTTGGACAGGTTGCTTAACCTCTCTGTGCCTCAGTTTCTTCATCTGAAAATAGAGACAATCATAGTATGTACTTACCTAATAGGTTACTATGATGGTTACATGAGAGCTTGACATATAATAATGCTATATGAATATTAGGTATAATTATTATTTCAAAATAATAGAAACAACTAATACAAAGAAAAATGACTGATATTGGGTAATTTTTTAAAATTATAAGAAACTGAGTGTGTGTGTATGTTTGTACTGCATATATACATATTTACTATCTGCCTCTGAAAAGAGCATCACTATTAGAATCAAATATATTTCACAAAATATTATGTATTTTATGTGAAAGTATTCTATTAAATGTCAAAGATCTCTGTATATTACTTTTGTTGTTATTAAAACAGTAAATAATTAATTATTTTAATAGCATTTCTTTCTAGAGGGTTGCAAACACTATTTGTAAATAAAATGATAATGTAGAAAAACAGAAAAGGGAAAAAAGTGCAACTAAATCCACAATGCTTTCACTTAATAGATCTAAGGACTATCACCCTCTCCCATTACAACTTACTAATATCTGGCAAGAAGTACTACTTTGTGATATTCTGTCTAGATACTCTTTAGGCAAGGTCTATACCGTACAAATACTAAATGCACCAGGGAATTGCTCCACAAAGATCCCACTATATTAAATGTTATATACAATCACTTAAGAAGAAACTTACATTTTTATGGTAATGTAAATTCCAAAATTAGCATTATCAGTAATTATTTTATTATAGTGTTTTTAAATTTAATGCAGAGTTATGGATAGATACTTGCCCTCAAATGTACAAGTATTCATTTAAAACTAGAGAAAGATTCTTAACCTTAAAAAAAATGAAAATACCTCATAGGAAAGTTTGTAAGGTGCATGAAAATCCACACCACAGAATCTGAAGATACATCTTGGACATGTACCAGTACTGAACAACAACTGGGCCACATGCTTGTTTTCCTCAGTCAGCGGAAACATATTGAAAAATTACAACTAGAAAGAAATAAAAAGTAAAACTAATGAGCATCTTTTGTGTTTTACTTTCACAAACAAATATATCATCAACTTTAAGGATAAAAACTAACTTTTATTTGAAAAACACTATTTTGTATTCTCCAATATGCATATTGAAACGTAAACTTGAAAGAAATTTATTAGATGAATCAGATAAGTTCCTAATTGTCAAGGGATTAGTTTAGCATTTTGGATTATGATAAAGTGCATCAATATAACTAAATCAATGAAAAGAAATATTTTTTTTAAATGGTTGTCTCTGAGAAGGGTAATGAAAACAAGAATACAAAGTAAAAATTTGCTTTTATTTTGTACCATTCAGTATTGTTTGAGAACACAGAGTAGTAAATTCAATAAACTTTTCCTATTAGAAATTAAAAATGAGTTTTCTAGAAAAACATCGGTAAGTTAATATTATATAATACTTGACTAACCTTAATAATAGTTAAGCAGTCAAGTATTTAAAACAAACTGATCAGTGGATCCAAAAACATCAACTTTACTTTGATGATATAACTAAATGACAACTAACTATAGCAAAATAAGAAAAATCTGCTTCTTTCATGCACAAGTAATATCTCCAACAAAAACAAATTAAATGCAAAATATTTTAGAGTAATTACTGTGTGAAACAATTTGCTACCTTTTGCAATTTGAATAAATTCACTTAGAAACAAATACTAGAGAATGGGGGAAATCCAATATAATTCTCTTGTAGCCAGGAAGGAGGGGTACTAAATTACCTAATCATTCTGCTTGACAAAAATAGATGGCCTCCTGATTAATGAATCAGTCCACATTACTTTAAAATGAGGAACTCGAAAAGTGACTGCACGGCAATGTTGTGGTATGGTATAACTGTGGCCATACCTATAACAGACAGTGGCGCCTTTTAATTTGTGCAGTTTCATAATATTATCTTTTCTCCTCCTCCTTTCCATTCCTTAAGGTCAAAGATTTCATTTAATTCAGAATTAACTTTTAACTCAGAAAAACAAAAAAAGTCAAAGCGTAAGTGCTTATAAAGGACACTCTGTATCAAAGATTTCCCTGGAGACTTAAGTTAAATAGTTTCAATAGAATGTTTACTTTCTTTCCTTTGACTTAAAAACAATGTTTATTTCTCCAATGGGTTCGCTAGAACTAAAGGTAACCTGTAAGGCCAATAAATGATACATTGTAATCTCTTCACGCTCAGAAATTCCCAAACCTGTTGAGAATTAGGACACCTGTCCCGGGTAATTTGAAGGGAGTCAAAAAAACACCACCACCATCACCTGAGTAATTTGAAGGAGCC